AGAGAGAGAGCGCGCGCGCGTGTGTGTGTGTGTAAACGTGTGTGTGTGTGTGTGTGTGTGTGTGTGTGTGTGTGTGTGTGTGTGTGTGTGTGTGTGTGTGTGTGTGTGTGTGTGTGTGTGTGTGTGTGTGTGTTTACGTGTGAATGAGGCACGCGTGCAGATGAATAGTTCAGTGTTGAGCCACTGCGAGTGCGTGAGCAACCCTCTTCTTGACTTGGCCCTTCACGTCATCCCGTCTCAGGTCTGCATTGGCAATCTCCACCGATATTCGCTTGGCCAACCGCTTGAACGTTTCCTGAACACACAAGTGTGTGTGTGTGTGTGTGTGTGTGTGTGTGTATGTGCGTGTGTTACGTGTGGCATGGACAGCGTCATTAGCAAGACGACATGCCACTCAAAAGAGATGGGCTGTGATCTTAACACATCGGACAATCAAGCACAGACACGAACACATTCACACATGTGCAACTCCAAACTCACTGCGGTAATGTCTCGATTGACATATGCTGGCTTCAGGTAGTGCTTGACAAGCTGGCAAAGATCCAAAGCAGAAACACATGCACACGAGTGAGCAAACGGACATGAGCAAACACACACACACACACATGAACACGCACAACACACACACATATGCACCACACACACACACACACTTTGACAATTGAGTCTGGCGGTCGTCTTCGCGCAGTCTTCGCGTTCGAGACAGCTGATAACGACGACGATGATGACGACGATGATGATGAAGAGGGTGTGGCGTGTGCAACGTGGTGATGGAGTGAGTGCGTCTTTGCTCGCTTGTGCGCCCGGTCATCACTCGCGTCATTGTTACCATTCCTGTCATCATCGTTGGCGCTGCCCACACCACCATCTTTCCTTCCTCCATCCTCATCGTCTTCATCACCATCACCATCTTCATCATCATCGCCATCCTGCTTCGTGTTCCCTGTCTTCTTCTCAAAGAACCACACCGCTCGTGGCGCCCTCGCTGCTGGCACTGAAGTAGAGACAGGTCGAGGTGCGTTGCTGCTGTCGCTGCCGCTTTGTTGGTGACTGTTCGTGCCCGTGCCACTTGCTGGTGTCGTTGCTGGTGTTGATGTCGTTGCATGCGCTGTTGACTGCACGCCTTCATCGCCATAACCGCCATATTTGCCATCATTGTGCCCATCGTCATCGTCATCAATGACAATGACGCCCCCGCTCTCTTCCTTCATCGCTGTTTCTCCCTGCTGGTTTCCATCACCACCACCGCCACCACCGCTTGCTGCTGGCTCCTTCTTCTTGACGCGTGCTCGCGCGCGTGCGAGTGCAGGGCACGTGTACAGCTTCCCCTGCGCCGTCGCTGCCGCCACATCGTCATTGAGTTGCCTCAACTTCATCGTGTATGCGCTTGACGTGCGTGCCGCCGCCATCACCTCACACTCCAATAGCACGGCGTCGTCTCTCGTGCGAAACAGCAGCGCCTCTGGCTCGTACACACACGCGCGTGCGGATGTGTAATTCGACCTTAAGTGCGACGTGATGGTCGACAGCGCCGTCTGTCAGTCGGCAGTGGTCACATGCATGGGTGCGTGAACGTTGTTGTGTGAGAGTTTGTGTGTGTGTGTGTGTGTGAGCGTGTGTGTGTGTGTGTGCGCGCGTGTGTGTAAGTTTGTGTGTGTGTGTGTGTAAGTTTGTGTGTGTGTGTGTGTGTGTGTGCGTGTGTGGGTGCGTGTGTGTATGTTTGTCGTCGGCGTGGTGGTACAACAGCAAAGAATGCACGCAATGACAAGGCCATTCGCACCATTCGTCGCTCGACGCTGAGGCCGCGAACGTTTCCCGTGTCATCCGCGTGCTAAAGGCATTGGAGAAACGAGATGGGAAGTTGAGGACAATGGCGCAGTTCAATCACACAGTAACAAACAAACACACACACATACAGCAACAAACACACACAGAGAGACACACAGCAACAACAACAACAACAACAACAACAACAACAACAACAACAACAACAACAACAACAACAACTTAAACAACAACAACAACTTAAACAACAACAACAACAACAACTTAAACAACAACAACAACTTAAACAACAACAACTTAAACAACAACAACAACAACAACAACAACAACAACAACAACAACAACTTAAACAACAACAACAACAACAACAACTTAAACAACAACAACAACAACTTAAACAACAACAACAACTTAAACAACAACAACAACAACAACAACTTAAACAACAACAACAACAACAACTTAAACAACAACGCACCTTGAGTGGGCAGTCCTTGGGGATTGCGAGTCGAGATCTGCTGGTCGTCGTCGGGCGCGCGCGGGATTTCAACATCTGCGCAACTGGCGATGCAAAAATGTCAACAACACATGTGGGAGTGGAGGCGGGAGTGCATGAACGTGAATATGAACGGAGAGACGAAGAGGGTGACAATGCTCGGTGCAAGCCAACAACAATGACAACCACGACTATGACTATGACTATAACAGCGCTGGT